ATAAAATAATAATAATAATAATAATAAAAGAAATAGTTGGGTGTTACAGAACGGCTCAGGATCAATCCCGCGCGCGTGGACAATTTGGATTTATTCCCCCATTAAACATGACCGGACAGTCGAGATCAAATCGCAATGAACAATTCATATTCATTTCCTCATTAAACGCAATCGGACGATCAAAATCAAATCGTGATAGATGGTCCAAATTCATTTTTTTCTTAGGCGCGATCGGATAAATGAGATCGGTCGCGATGGACGGTTCAGATCAAAACGATATGAGTATAAATATCTCGCATCACATGGGAACTCAAACCTTAACCGCCAGCCCTCACTAGAGAAGAAAAACCATACGCTAGAGAAGGAGGTCGAGCGCCTACTACTGCTGCACCGGAGCCACTGCCAACCGTAAAAAGAAGTAAAAATTTCCCCTACTCACTCGAAATTTGATTCCAACTAAGCACCCTCATGGCTAAATCGGAGCAAAAAGAAAGCGGGTGAGCCAAAAATCACGGGTGAAGCTGTAACGACCCCGGAAATATTAAAATGAAATGAGTATTTAAATATATCAAATGCGAAAGCGAGATCAAAATTTCAGTTAACATCCCTTACACGAAAACCAAAAACGTACTTAAAATATAAAAGGTTAAACTAACTAAAAGAGAAACTCGAAAATAAAGCTATGAGTATGACTACAGAGTCTCTAGGCATCCCTTTCGTCGTCCTCCTGCGGAACGGGCTCGGGAACCATGTCTTCCTGATCTGAAATGGTTAAATAAGGAGTGAGCTACACTAGCCCAGTAAGAACATCACGATATCTCACCGTCACGGAGGTAAAGGTGGGTAGAAAACACAAAGGACCCATGGAGCATGTTTTACAACAAATCTTTTTATTTATGATAAAACCTTTACCATCCACTTACCTCGGTGGAATTTATGAAAATAATATAAGAAAAACAATAACATTATCATAATCATGGAATAATATAAGCTGTAAAACATAACACTTATCACGCCTCTTGTAATTCAATCATTATACAACATATCTTTTTCTCATTTACCAGCCTACTAGTATCCGTGGGGGTCCATAGGGGTCCCGCTACCCGTTAACCTTTAACATTCATAATCAGTTTCCAGGGCCGTCCCCATACCCCGTCCGGTATGGGCGCCAAAACTATAAACCTCAATACCCCATCCGGTATGAGGGTGAAACGGGCCGTCCCCATACCCCGTCCGGTATGGGCGCCAAAACCATAAGATCTCCATACCCCGTCCGGCATGTGAGACCACAATCCCGGTAGGGTTCCCTACGGACCACGTCCGTCCACCATCTCCCAGGATATCTAGTCAGGCTGACCCCCATAATACAATTATCAGTCTACACAATCTTTCATTTTTCTTTTTCCTCAGTCAACATCATCAATTCACATTTAAACAAGCAAATCGTAATTCATGCCAAACAGACAATATACAGTATCAGTTTTTCAGTCATTCGACCCATAATTAATAAAAACGTAGTATATGCACACAAATCTGTAAAATGAACACATCAAACCTTATTTTGCATTTAAAGCTGTAAACAGGCCAAATAACAGTAAATCACCAATCACACTAGACTCGGGCTCTATTAGACACCTTAAGCAATTTCACATATTCGTTAATTCAAGAAATACCGTTTTATCATTTTGAACTTTAATACCGTGATAGGAAATAAGGTGAGGGGTCCTTACCTGTTTTCGGGATTCGAATATGATTCACAGTGCGCCTACAGGCTGTTCCTAATTTTCCCTGAATTTTTTCTGGGGAACTGAAACGCACTAACGGTACCTGCACGTGTTCCAAAAAATCTCAGATTAGGCTCAGGGCCCCTTTTTGGCCAATATCGCAACTCCAGCACGGCGGCTCCGCCGTGCTCCGGCGACGGCGCCGCCGCTTGCAGCGGCGATTCGCCTCGGGTTGGCTGTTTTCGGCCGTTTCCGGCCGAATTCGGCCACACTCGCATCAGTCCCTGCGAGAAAACAACCCTAGGGCCCTCGGGGGGCCAAAAAATCACGAAAAAACAGAGCTTACCGGCGGCGGCGCTCTCGGGTGCGGCGGCTCTCCGGCGAGGTTCGTGTTTTGGTGATTCGGCTCCGGTCAACCTGTAGAGAAAAGAATGGAGATCACGGTGATATAAAAATTGCATCAAACGGAAGTCGGGAAGGGCCTCGTCGGAGGCAAAAATCGAGAAGGGGCGCGGCGGCGCCGCTGGTCTTTGGCCGGGATTTTGGCTCCGATTTGGCCACAGGAGGAATTAGCGTGGAAAAACGAGTCGGGGGTATGAAATTTACCTCGATCGGCGGTCGAAAATTTCCCCGGCGCGGCGGCGGGTGGCGGCGGCCGGCTTCTGGTTTGTCTTCTCCGGCGAGCGGCAGGCGGCTAGGGTTTGTGGTCTGGTGTGGGGGTTCTATTTATAACCCCTTGCCTTTTGATCTCAGCCGTCCATTTTGTTTTAATCTGGGCCGTTTGTTTTTGATTGAATCTGGGCCGTCCGTGCGATTGCATCTGGGCTGTCCGATCGCGCGATTGATCTGGTCCGTCCGATTGCGCCCACGCGGATCGCCAACGTGGCCCGTTCCGGAGTGACGTGGTCTTGCCACGTGGCAGGCCCCGGTTGGCCGGGATTGCTGACCGGGCCTGCTGACGTGGCTGCCGACGTGGCTTTTTTTTTTTCGTCCCCTATTCTCCGGGCGGTACAGAAGCTCGGCGGCCAAAGTTTCAAAACCTCTATGATGAGCCCCTTTTCGATTCCTGTTTCACGTGATTTTTCAATCATTGTGTTCACCGTCCTTTTTTGTGCAG